CAGAAAGTACAAGATTGAAAAGGTTCGTTGAGCTGAATCTGACATGTTGGTCCAAGTCGTCCAAGTCGTTTAAGTTTTCTAACTCCTAGACACTTATTTACAGAACAAATGGTTAAATCAATCAATTATTTAAATTTTTTTCTTGATGAAGGGAACACAGTTGAACACATAAATAACAAATGACCAATGTTAGAGCTTGCCAATTAGTCCAGTAATATCGATGACTTGTGCGATACCGGATTCAAGACGTCAGTCATCTTCGTATATAATTGCGAATAAATTCAATTTTCAATGTTTTTACACTGTACGAGAACAGTTTCTAATTTCACTATCATAGCAAAAAGTAAACACTTCAAGCGCTAATAAACTTTCCTTGTAAAATTATTTTTGATAGATTTATGGATATTGCTGCAAGTCCCTGAAGTCACATTTCTGTTGCTTGTATAGACAATTTCAAAGTGAGTATCAATTCTCTAGAAAGTGTGTTTTAATTGGCTTGCTTTGAAAGGTGTTCAGTCTCGATATGAATACGACCGGGTAACAGGTGACTGTTTGAGGTTGAAAACCTAATTTGTAGGCGTATCCAAACGTTTTAAAGAAATGGTGTTAAGTGCGGGGGAACCGATAGCTGTGCCGTGAAAACTTTGCAAATGAAATTTCTTGATCAACTGGAACTGAGTAATTGACAGAGACAACTCAATGCTTTATTGTTTTCTAAAACATAATACCGAAGCAAATGAGTTTTATTAATATTGATGTGGTTTTGTTCAAACTAACCTCATAATCAAGACAAAATATGTATAAGGAATTTTGCGACTGAATCAGCTTGTTTTTAAACAATGAACATAAAAATAAACCTGTCATGATAGAATTGATAAGGTTAAATTCCTTTTAAAAACATTTTTTACGCACTTAAAACGACTCAACTAGTGGAGACCGGTTTCATTTATTATACATGAACTTAAAGATCTTGTCGAGTTGAGGAGTTTATGTAGGTTTTTGTAATGAGAAAGAAAATTGAAATGTTTAAATTTAGTAAATCCAATAGAAATCTAGAAACAAACTGAAGTTAGTTTTATATAATGACCATGGACACCCCTTGTGCAGGCCCTGTAGTATTGAGAATTTAAGAAACGCAAAATGAATTTTATCAAGCGCTAGTTCCATGACTAACTAGTTCTTTATAATCTCTTCTTCAAAGATGAAGTGATTTAAAAAATCAACTGAATAGACTTCTTTAGTTTGAACGTAACGTTTTGAATATTTCAGATCATGAGTCAATCTCTATAAAGTATTATTTCATTATGTAACGGTTGCACATGAGAATACATGTGAATGTGGATAACTCAAACAAAGAATCTTATTTCGAAGAGAATGACATGTGGCGTGAAATGGGAAAACATCACATTCAAAACATGCTGCTGTACAATGAAAGTTAAGCTAATTCTGAATTACAAATTCCTGGAACCCCTGAAACCGCGCGCCTGCAACCCTGGAACCCCTGGCTTTGTTAACGCTTAAGCAGTTGATTTTAGACTTACGACACTACTGCTGTTGACATCTGAGCACCTCATGAACTGGTGAAGTTAACGCAGTGTCTAAAAAGACTACCTCGTGGGTATTTCATTTGTTGTCGTATGTGAAGAACTCAACGCCTGGCAGCCATCCACATTGGAAGATCTATCTTCCAGCGTACACGAATAACTCGAGCATTTGCGTGCTTGCGAGCTTTAAAGGCTTATGAAGCAAAAAATGTGGCGCTGAGAAAATCCATGGGATAGAGGAGGATAGACTGAAGACATATCATGACGCTGGACCCTGTGTACGCGTTTTCGGACGCTAATCGAATTTCAATCCATTCATTTTCCTGCAATCATTTTATTTGATCAAATGAAGAACTTCTTAGATTTAAAATTAAATTACAGCAAACAATAGAAATCCCTTATTCGTTCTAACGAAACTCTGTTTTACACATTGTTTAACCCTGAACTAGTTTGTGTGGATTGTTTATTAGTCAGTTGTTTTGCGAAACTGAATTAATGGTATTCCCTGAATCAACAAGAACGTGCAACTAGCTTCAGATTATATTCTGAATTGTCCTTTTACAAATATTAATATTAGTCAATATAATATTATAGAAATAGTAATGAATAGTTAATAAACATTAGATATTCATGGTCCAAGCTTATACGCGGAGTGCACTGTATGCTTTTGTGAACGTAGATCTTTATAGTACTAGTAACAGGAGTGATAGAGTTGGTTTGGCGAGAGTCTGGACTTGGTTGAATTGATTGGTTGATAAGATCTTTCAAACTAGTTTACTGACTCATTCACTTTTATCAACTGGTCGGTAGTCTGTTTGGATTCCATTAAAAATTTCCCATATTAAAAATTTCAAGCAAGTGTTTTGAAAGCTCTTAGATGTTGGAGCAACGACATCAAAACAATATATTGTCCAAAATAGGCGCCCAATTTCAATGATTGATTTAGGTGAAATTTTATTTAAGCAACTGACATATATTTTTGAAATTGGAAAAATCAATTTTACTCAAGTAGAGTGTATGTCATACTTTCTAACATGATCTATTTTCTACTGAGTGTTTCTAAGAAATTGAGAGATATATTTCCAAAAACCTGGAGTACTTTGGAGCTAGTACAGATCCTAAAACGTGCTACCTTAATTTGCCAAATATTTAGTCGAAGATGTCTTCTATACATTATAAAGCAATCACTTAGTATTAGTAGTAGTAGTAGTAGTAGAAGATATAATTACAAAAAAAAAGAAGCATAAAAACCCGTTAAAACCTAAGTAAACAATAATAACTAGGCAAAGGCACTTGGGATAGCACTCGATCATTCTCTGTCCCTTATCATTCGATTGATATAGTGTGTATGTGGTAACACTTCGTGTAACAGATACGGTACTTTCCAGGCCTTCTTTGAACCAAGGTTGACGAGTTCCCTTGTATCCGATCAACGCCCACCATTGTTTGCCTTCAACATCAGCATCATTGTAGCTGGAGCCAAGGAGATGGATGTGGCCCACKMCATGRAGATGGTTAGGAWGGACCACAGCCATGAGAACGATCAAATCATCTGGTAAACCGTCTATGTATGCATTMATGGCTTCCACATCGACATCATCGATAGAATGAATATCGAAAACCTTAACTTCTCCGTTGATGGTCCCGTTCTTATGAACTGTGAGGAAATTATATCCGTGGTCCTATATGAATGCAGAAAAAGCTTATCAGTTAGAGAAGTGAATGACCGGATTTTTATAACYGGATTTTACGCTATAATGACTGCAAACAAAGACTTTGTTAGTCATTACCTTAAGATCAAAGACCTTTCCGTTTACCACGAACTTTCCCACTTTATCAGAGGTCACCGAAATATCGATACCGGATACTAGAAAAGAAGAAAAAAAATATAATATAATGATTGGTTTATTCTTTTTCAGTATTTTTTCAGTATTTTTTCAGTATTTTTTCAGATTTTGATACATTTGGAAATTACGTACCTTTGTAACATTCTCTAAAATTCTAGAAACAAAGTAAGAAAAAAATTAGATGAACTAAATGAAAATTGATTTGCGATGGGAAGAAAGGGAAGCCGCAGAAAACACGATAGACAATAGTGTTACTTTTGTTCTTCTAAAATTGATCAAAACTTACGGAAACTCCTTGATGGATGAAACCTGGCTTTTTGACCAACGCGCATGGCGAGGTATCATTGGACAACTGACAGATACCTTCGTTACTGCCATAGTTGTATGCAACACAACCAGGCGAGGAACTACATGCCCAGAGACACTGCTTGCGAGTCTTGCCCTCATACGCAACGAAAATACTGTTTTCTATTGCTTTGTCATTGATGACTGGACCAAAGTTTAATACTCGTAAGCCGTCTTGATCAATGAGATTTACTCCTGCCATATTATACTGGGCGAAAGTAGTGCCAATGAAGTGGTACAGAAAGTACAAGATTGAAAAGGTTCGTTGAGCTGAATCTGACATGTTGGTCCAAGTCGTCCAAGTCGTTTAAGTTTTCTAACTCCTAGACACTT